AAATTCTTTGCGGCCGTCCGGTTGACGAACCTGATCTCCATTAATGGTTCAAGCTCGCCCGTGGAGTCGTCAGGGGAGCAGTCAAGCACGCTGCTCAGTGCAATAACGACGATATCGACATCAACTCCGATGATGATGATGATGATGATGATGATGATGATGACGGTAGTGCAGAGCAGGAGTTCGGCCACGGTGACGATTTGAAGCCTAGCCAGAACAGCTCCACTCATGTTGGAGGCGATCATTCTTCGCACTGCCCGGGGAAGCGTCAGCGGGTGGATATTACCAGTTAGGATGTGACACTTGAGTCCCGCGCACCGGTGTCCCCTGATGACGAACCTCCTCAGCCTCCTGTATATTCTGATGGTGGTCTATCCTCTTCAATCGTGGACTTGTTTCACAAGACTGCTAACCATCGTTCCCAACCATCACCAAGCGCATCGACCGGTGAGGTTGAAGCTGCATCCCAAGGATCGGTGCCTCAGCGGCCGAAGCCAAACTCTCAGTGTTCGGCGGAGGAACCCAATGCATCAACAGGGGAGCTCGATGGATCGCCTGAGTGTAGGCCATCGTCCTCAACCGCGTCGCCTAACTGGTTGGTACATGATACTCAACTTGGCAAGTTCCGTCTCACTGTTCTGGATCGTCACGACTTAGCTTCACCTTGTACCGAAATTTCTGACATGGCTGTTGGTACCTGGAAGGCCCTACTGTGTACTAGGTGCTTATGTTTGCTGCAGTCTCCTCCGATAACTCCAGCATCATTAGAGGTTATGAAAACACAGCTTGAGGGCATCCCGAAGGCTCCTAGCCTCAGCAATGCACCTTCGATCATCCAACCCTTATACGACTATGGAGCTAAGCATTTTGCCCTCGCTGTCAGGAATCACGAGGGACTAGTGCTATATCTCGATAGCGCACTGGGTATGAACGCGATTCCTGGACCTATGCGTGAAGTGATGACCGCTATCTTCGGCAAAAGTACAAAGTGCGTATGTTTGCGCACACAACAGCAGACACCCGGATCTGCAAACTGCGGCCTCTTCACATTGGCGTGGGCGACAGAGTACGCCCTCCAACGAGCGACTGTCGATCCGGAGAAGGCCACCTACGATGAGGAAAAATGCGGGATCATGCGGTTCGTTGTCTGCAGGAGAAGAGACTAAAGCCATTCCCACGAAAACGCGGAAGGCCCGGCAAAAACAACCGCCTTCAGGGCCGGATGGATATCGAGCTGTAAGCTGGGAGTGTCAATCATACAGTTTATTCACAGTTTCGTGTGTGTTATTATGAGTGTGGATGTTTCTGAACGTGAACGTCTTCTGTTGCGTTTCTCTGCCAATGTTCGTCCAACTCAGTGTTCGTCCATTCGAGATGTTCGTCCATAGGACTTTATCGATTGTGTGGGCGTGCG